CCTTAGACAACTGCTAAAAGCTGCAAGTTTCTTTAAAGCAATATCATGTATATCACAGAATACAGTTTCTGTAGTGACATACTTTGTGTTTTTTCTGTCTTTAAAGTGTCTTATGTTTGTAATATTTTTGTACAATACCTTTTTGAAATTGTTGATACTGGTCTCATTGTAACTCAGTTATTCCTTCTCAAGAAAAATAAAAAAACAAAGCTGCGTGGGTGTGTTTTTGCTCTAGCTAGTTTTTACATTTACATGGTTCATGTACAATTAATGTACATTTAAATTAGCTTTGTTCAATGAATACAGGTGTGATTCAAATATCATTCCTGTCAGGTACTTGGGTCAAATAGACATAAGCATACCAAATCATGCTGTGAATTGAAATACAAGTATAGGGGGTGTATTGTTTAATAAATATATTTTCCAGTTAACCCAGTAAGCTGCATTGTGCCCCAATGCACCCTACTTTACTAGTTTATTTCACTTCATCTAATGCCAGATGATTTTACTTATCAAGGGAGAGTGCTGCTGCTCATTGAGCTCTGATTGAGTTCACTGAGTGGCAGCACTTTTCCCCTTGACGAGTGAAATTGTCTGGCGTTAAACGGAGTAAAATAATCTTGCATTCAATCAAGCAGCTACTTTTCCAAAAGCTCAACCAGGCTAAAGATTCTTTGATTTGAAAACCAAAGTGATAGTGAACTAGTTAGTTGAAACAAACAGAATTGTTTGATTTATTTACTTTCCACAACATTGACAATTAAAATTTAATTTGATACTTTTCCAGTATATTGACATTATATAGGTTCAGATTTGACTACCATTACCATTAAGGGACCATCAACCAATCAAATGCATTTGATATATTCGATCAACCATTATAATGAAAGTGTGAGTTTATTCATAAACTAATTATAAATCAACTTCCATGCAATGCTTCATACAATCATCTAGTTATGCACCAGTCAATGTAAATCCCTGCCCCCAACCGGGGAGGGGCGGGAGGTTTAGCGGGGAAAGTGGTCAGTTTTGATTATAAATTTGTCCCCGATGATGGGAGACTTGGACGGTGGTTAGGGACCGGTCATTAAATATGGCAAGGGGGGGATGGAGGAGAAAGTATGGGGGTCCTGAATTATTTTTTCATTGAGATGGGGGGGGGGGTCTTGAAAATTACATTATGTGAAAGAGGGGGTCTTCAGATTTTTCCCAACAAAAGGATTGTTTCTCGTTATATACAATGAACAGCCAAGAGATGCATAAAATGCCCTTTAAACTGGAACACTGGGTATTAACATAACGAGTAAAGCATAAAAAACATAATATAAAATAGAATTATTCAAATGTTTATCAATCATTAGTATTATAGCTCATTAATTAACTTGATATTATACTTGATATTGAGTACGTATATAGTGTTCAGTGGATGTAGGCGAGACAAGCATAGGCAATAGAGTAACCTACCTAAATAGATTGTAAAATATTTATTTAACTAGTTTCATCAAATTTTATACCTCTTTTAATACTCTTCATTGATCACTTGCTCTCCTAAGTTTGTCCTAATCGGGCCAGCCATCAATACAAAACTATATTTTCAAGCGGTACAAGAGGGGGGGGGGTCTTTAAAAAGTATAAAATGCATAAGGGGGGCCTTGAAAAGGCATATAATTTTTGAGGGGGGTCCCAAAATTTTTTTCAAAATTTCTAGTTTCTCCTCCATCCCCCCCCCCTTGCCATATTTAATGACCGGTCCCTTAACATATATATCCTGTGTTGCTGTTTTAGTTTTCTTGACAAGAAAAGTTTAAATACAACAACATAAATTAATTTGATTTTCTATTGCTGATCTATGATTATACAAAACTATTTTCCTGGGGTTGAGAGACATGCAGGGGACATTGATGTCCCTGGGGGCGGGGACAATTTCGCTCTTTTACTACCCCTCCAAGTCAAAATCCCTGCCCCTCCCCGGTTGGGGGGTTTACATTGACTGGTGCATTAATTAAAGAAGTGTCAGTGCCACATATGTAGTAAAAGCCAACTTGTCAGTAAAGGCCACAGAGCAAGATTGTATTTCAAAGACTGCCAGTGACAAAAACAATTGATAGTCCTGAAATAGAGTATGCCAACAGTTAGTATACTGCAAATAACTATTCTATCAACAAGATCAATCATATATCAATCCAATGGCATGTAACCTAAAATTCAGCAGTGTCTGTGTAATGAAATACACCTTTACTTCTCAATGGTCAAATTAACTATACTACATTGTGTATAATAATATATGGACTGGTTCAAAAATATATTGAATTTATATTAGTGAATTTATTGATGTAGAGATTATGCCAAGTATAGAATGGCACAAGGATTTTCATGTTATCAGCATGATTAAATCGTGAGATTGTGCAAATAATCTCTGTAAATCTCTTAGAGATATCCTCAGTAGCTACATTTTAAGGTAAAATGACTATGGTAAAGCTATTCAAGGCAAAAAAGCAATGGATCTGTCAACCTCGTTGTCAACAGTAAATTTAGCTAAGTTTATGATCCATTTATTGCCGTATTTTAGCTGAGAATTCATTTAAGACAATGCAATACGATAGACTTACCTTTGAATTTATCATATATTCTTTTAAAATGGTCACCAAAGCTCTAAAACTCGATTGGTATCGTTTTAACTTTCTCACTCCTTAATGTTTACACGTAAATTTGTCAAATTACACTTGTCTAGGGCACTGGTAACGAGACACGGCCAAGATGCGCGAGGCGACATGCGCGGGGACATCAACATCAAAGATTCCGACATCGAGTGAGACTTCTGGTCTTATTATTTATTTTGTGCCAGGGCCTCCGGCAACCAGTGTCAGCCGTGAGGCCCTGGGACCGAGGATGCCACCGGAACCATAGAGATTATAAATAACACTAGAGGAGGCATTGTAATCTTAATTCAGTAAAAAAAAGGGAACGCGACTATTGGGGGGCAAATTCAAGTCCCGGATGTGTATTCGTGTTCCCATTGGTGACGAGTTTCAAATCAGCCAATGAGAGCACGATTTTATATCCGGGACTTGAATTTGCCCCCCATTAGCTAGCTGCGTTCCCAATTTTTAAACTCGATGCCTCCTCTAGTGTTATTTATAATCTCTATGACCGGAACAGGTAGGCAATTTGTCGACGCTGACCAAAAATAGCGGCTCATTTCTTCTTGAGTTTCCATTTTCGCGTCGAAGAGCAAAAATATAGACTTTCGGAGAATATTTTAGCTGTTTACTATCAATTATGTTCGTGAAACAGTTGATAATCTTACTGAGGAAGGCCAACGGTTTCTGAAAAGCTATAGTACGTCGAAATCAGCTTTGGAATAGACTATATTTTCACCGGGGAAACATGAACAAAATGGATATTTACATCAACACTAAATTTTGCTCGTGCCTACAGAGCTAGTTGGATTAAAACAGATGTTAAGAAGTAAGTGAAAATGTGAACTTTGTGAATTATACTTTCATTAAAATGTTTCAGAAAGTCTGCTAATGTCAAACTACACGTATGACAGAGCTGTCAGTATACCTACATTTCAATGTTTATGTTGAAATGACCCATCTTCTTTGAGGTATAGCTTAAAATTTAGGGTATGCTCATCACTTGAAACTAACTTTAAATCAAAGTTTTATCTATAGTCTTTATAGTAGAATTAAAATCATTCATGGGAAAAATGTGCCAAAGGGTTGAAATTGCCCTTGTAAATGTACACTATTTTTGACATGCTTGGGTTAGTATTTTGAAAAGGTGTTCTGGAAGGGAAATATGTCTTGAACAATACTGGTTGACCCTTAAATTATAACTAGTGTTATGTAAATCACAGAAAATTGAAAAAAATCTGGTACATACACAATATTTTGGACCCTATGATGTCCCGAATGGGGCTTATTTCAATGTTGAATCTGTTTACCTGGAAAAACTTAGAAAATTGAATAAGTCAAGAATTTGACTATGCTCATCACCCAAAACCAGGTTTTTCTAATTGCTTTTTCACCTGGGTTTGTGGCAATGCCAGTTTTGTGACCATGAAAAATGCGCGCGGCACTTTTTTTGGACACTGAAGATGGTACCATTTGATGTTGTCATATATTGCCATCCTCTTATCATAGCACAACTTAACTTATTTTAGTGAGTTTGTTAAAGAGTTGTGTTCACTATATGCTTGTAGTATATAAGATTTTTTCATAGCATTAAATAATAAATTTAAGTTCTGTTTTCTTTTATTTTTAGGTGATAGTATCTATTCACTCCAATGTTGGTATCAAATTTTGGTCAAGTTTCAATTATTATTTCACATTCCTTTATTCAAATATCCAAATAAATGGAATATGATATCAAGCTGGAGGACTAGAACCTGTTTTCAAACTTGTTTTTTGTAAAAATAGAAAATAACAACTTATTCTGTGTTGTTCTAATAAAAACCATTGTTTTTGATATGCATATATTTTAATTTTATTCTTTGTTAAAATGTGTATCAAGAATACTGAAATCTTTCAGATCAGCTAACAATACCTTTATAACTTATATAGCCAAGTGTTCTATCTATTTCTGTTCAGATTAAACAAATGATGGGTAAAATATTAGATAAGATTTTTTCAAAAAATATGAGCTTGCCTGTTTTCAAAGCATAAAAAGCAATAAAATACAGCAAAAGTACTTATTTTAAATTTAAAACCTTTGGAATGCACAGCTTAATGTTTTCCACTAAATATTACAAAGTTTTCGTTCATTAAAATGTTGTTTTATCAGCTTTAAAACCAGATAAATCCCACGAAACACTCCTAATATATGTCGCCATATTGATTTTCTGCGCGCATGCTCAGACTAATTGCCTACCTGTTCTCCACCGGTCTTCTCGGCCGCGGGCGTCCTACCCAGGCCCTGGAACACACGGAACCGGAGGTGAAAGAAAACTTGCAGCAGTTTCTAAAGCGCATGCTCTTGACTTGGGATGCTTTAGCACCCGTAACAATGTTCAAAGTGAAGTATTACGAAAAAACGAAGTATTTGTGTTGACATAGTATGTTGATAGGATAATTTTGCCTACCGAAAACTGCTCAACTTCTGCGAAATAGCAGTTCTCTGAGAAGCCAATCAGATCTCTCCCTTTAGTTGTCTAACCCAGAGCGAGTGACCAAGTGAAAATGGCTTTGGGGACGAGAATGGGCCAAGATGAGATGCAAAGATCACAAATTTAAAATCTTTTACTTCGATGCTCTAACCAATACACATTTTACACTAGCCTCCTCCGCAGGCATCGCCTTTCGATTTCGGGCAAAATTTCTTGCAGGCAAAAAACTGAAGTACGTGAACTACGAGATGCCTGCGGAGGAGGCTAATTTTACACAATGACGTTAAAGTGTTAAACGCGAAAAAGGTTTTTGTGATGTCCCACGGGACAATAGGCAATACCAGCTTTTAATTTATGCGTGCAGGGGAGATGGGAAGTAAGGTATCGTATTGCTGATTATGCTGAAAAATTTCAATAAAAACAGCCGAAAGAACCGAAATATATTTATTATATTGTGTAGATTATTAAATTTATCAATAGTGAGTTAGGAGTATATCCATCGAAATTTAAAATGTCAAAAATCATTCCAATATTTAAAAATGATGACAGGACCGATGCTAATAATTACCGGCCGATATCGCTATTATCTAATTTTAATAGACTTTTTGAAAAGATGATGTATAAAAGGATGCATAGCTTTATTCAAAAACATGCTATCCTTTCTTCTTGTCAGTATGGTTTTCGAGAATTGCATTCAACTGGTTTGGCAAAACAAATCGCTGCGAGAAAGATGTATCAGTTTCCTCTTTTCAAAAGACTCCATCTCTTCCAATAAGGGTGGGTTAGATGGGTTTTAATCTAATTTTTTGTTCATGTTTTTGCGTTTATTCTACAGTATCTGTCGCGAAACTTCTCACATCAATAATTTTTGTTTTTATAAAGTGGAAACACCGCATGAATTCTTTCTGCGCGCCATATTTTGATACTCGTGTTGTTTGCGAACTGTGTCTCTGAATATTCTCATTTTTATGATCAGAAATTTTGTAAAAACCGAAGTATTATAAAGTTTCAATAAAGAACGACTCGAGGGAACAGTTGGGTGATATTTTTAATCGAAATTTGAGCGCGCATCTGATATACGTGGGAAAGATCAAAAGCTGTTTCAAGCCAGACAAGCCTGAAACCATGTCTAGGAAATGTGATGTCTGTAACAAGGTATTTTCACAGAGAAGCTCTTTATTAAGACATAAAAGAACACACAATGAAGAGAAACCTTATAAATGTGATGTTTGTAACAAAAGATTTTTACGATCAAGCCACTTAGCAATTCATAAGCGAACACACACTGGAGAGAAACCTTATGGATGTGATGTTTGCAACAAGAGATTTTCACACTCAAGCACCTTAGTTACACATGAAAGAACGCACACTGGAGAGAAACCTTATGAATGTGATGTTTGCAACAAGAGTTTTTCACACTCAAGCACCTTAGTTACACATGAAAGAACGCACACTGGAGACAAACCTTATGAATGTGATGTTTGCAACAAGGGATTTTTGCAGTCAAACAACTTAGCGATTCATAAGAGAACACACACTGGAGAGAAACCTTATGAATGTGATGTTTGCAACAAAAGATTTTCTGACCCAAGCACCCTAACTAAACATAAAAGAACACACACTGGAGAGAAACCTTATGAATGTGATGTTTGCAACAAAAGATTTTCTGACCCAAGCACCCTAACTAAACATAAAAGAACACACACTGGAGAGAAACTGTATGAATGTGATGTTTGCAACAAAAGATTTTCTGACCCAAGCACCCTAACTAAACATAAAAGAACACACACTGGAGAGAAACCTTATGAATGTG